TCCGGTCCGCCGCGGACTCCGGCGGAGTGCTTGGCGGACTCCGCCGGACCTCTCCGCCAGACTTGAATCCGGCGGAGTCCGGCGGAGCTTGGCGGAGTCCGCCAGCTCGGCGGACTCCGCTCGGAGTCCGCCGGACTCCAACAGAGTCCACTGACTTCCGACCTCCGTCTTCCGACCCTCGGCTAAATTTGTCACGTGACATACAACATAGCATTTTGCAATATTGTGGTCAGATGAAAAGGTCGCTAGTGATAAACCTTAACCATTACCCTCACAATGTCAATAGTGTACAACTCTAGTCCTAACTTTGACCCTATAATGTATAAACGTTGACCCTAACCCTCCACCAAACCGTCCGCAGCGAAATATCAATGTCATTGACTGGTCACGTGACCAAAACAATTTTTGTCATATTATCTCATATGGGGAAGCGTTTTTAGTTTTACCCTACACGTTGCATGTGGCGTCATTCGGCCGGATCCCAGCAAGCAAAAATACGTCGACCATCACAGGACGACGCCAGCCAGCACTCTCTACGCTCTTCGAGCTCCGATCGTCCTGTGACGAAGTAAGGACGAAGCCTGAGGTCCTCAGGTAACATCGACCACCGATTGAAAATTCAAAGATTTTTTGACATAAAGGTCAAATGTAAAACTAAAATCTTGATGCTGATTGATTGACGACGTCAATTTTTGAGCACAGCGCGAGCGCATGCGGAAAAGGACCGCGTAGCTAGTCAAGATGTTGATAAATATTTGGCTTGTGGCGCGATGTGTTGCTCTAACTATAGCCCTCTCGCTTGCAGTAGCGCGCGACCGCCGGAAATGACTTGTGGAACAAGCGCGCCCGCAGCGGCGCGAAAGCACCTGGTTAGCTAAATGAACGCGATGTGCCTTGCATTGTAGATGAAATCCTACTAGCTGACGCCACTCGCAGCTGTGATGTTCGCTGTACGTCAGCGATCGAAATTTATACGCGTATCACCCGTTAAGATGTGCCACCCGACGCGCCACGCAATTTTTCTCGTTGCTCGTCGCACGTCGACGCCCTCATTAAATTTTTGGAGAAAATCGCTCGCCAAAATTTGTTGGACCAGGACGATGTCCTAGCCTGGCAGCTCATTGCGCGGCGCGTCGCAACGAGCTTCGTTGTTCGTCGACGTGCGACGAGCAACGAAAAAAATTGTGTGGCGCGTCGAGTGGCACATCTTAACGGGGGATACGCGTATAAATTTCGATCGCTGACGTACAGCGAGCAGCACAGCTGCGAATGGCGTCAGCTAGTAGGATTTCATCCTACAAGGCACATCGCGTTTACCTAGCTAACCAGGTCATTTCCGCCTCCGGCGGTCGCGCGCTACTGCAAGCGAGAGGGCTATAGTTAGAGCAACACATCGCGCCACAAGGGCCAAATATTTATCAACATCTTGACTAGCTACGCGGTCCTTTTCCGCAATATGCGCTCGCGCTGTGCTCAAAAATTGACGTCGTCAATCAATCAACATCAAGATTTTAGTTTTACATTTTAAAGACCTTTATGTCAAAAAATCTTTGAATTTTCAATCGGTGGTCGATGTTACCTGAGGACCTCAGGCTTCGTTCTTACTTCGTCATGCACAGGACGATCGGAGCTCGAAGAGCGTAGAGAGTGCTGGCTGGCGTCGTCCTGTGATGGTCGACGTATTTTTGCTTGCTAAAAACGCTTCCCCATATGAGATAATATGACAAAAATTGTTTTGGTCACGTGACCAGTCAATGACATTGATATTTCGCTGCGGACGGTTTGGTGGAGGGTTAGGGTCAACGTTTATACATTATAGGGTCAAAGTTAGGACTAGAGTTGTACACTATTGACATTGTGAGGGTAATGGTTAAGGTTTATCACTAGCGACCTTTTCATCTGACCACAATATTGCAAAATGCTATGTTGTATGTCACGTGACAAATTTAGCCGAGGGTCGGAAGACGGAGGTCGGAAGTCAGTGGACTCTGTTGAAGTCCGGCGGACTCCGAGCGGAGTCCGCCGAGCTGGCGGACTCCGCCAAGCTCCGCCGGACTCCGCCGGATTCAAGTCTGGCGGAGAGGTCCGGCGGAGTCCGCCAAGCACTCCGCCGGAGTCCGCGGCGGACCGGAGTCCGCCTAGTGGCTTAGTCCGCGGCGGACACTCCGCCGAGCCGCCGCGGAGCCGCTCGGAGTCCGCGGCGGACTTTAAAGTCCGCTCGGAGTCCGCTCGGCTCCGCTCGGAGTCCGCCAAAATGTACTCGAGTCCACTGTAAATACATTTTGGCGGAGCACCGCCGGAGTCCGCTCGGAGTCCGGCGGCTCCGCCGGAGTCCGCTCGGAGTCCGCCCGGAGTCCGGCGGCTCCGCCGCGGACTCGACTCCGCGACGGATAGTGCCGACAATTGAGTATAATTTTGTGTGAGGGTACTGGGTAGGGACCCAGATGTTGTTTCTAACCTAAATAAAATTTAATGAGGCTTCTCATCAGTAGCCGCACCTCCTTACTCGGATTCTGAACTGGAATTCTATGGGCTTCCAGACGGCCAGACCGAGTAGTACCATCCCATACTTCTAGAGTTCATCACAAGTAGCACCCACTTATCAAGGCATAAGTAGTCCGCGGACTGAGTCGGGGTTTCTAGACATTACCAGCAATCAGTGACTGACAGTCTTGTAGTGTTCAATATGGAAGAGGCAAGTTATCGTTGAGCAGCAAGTAATTGATACCTATACTATACCAGTACTGGTGGTGTCTGGGCAGTGTAAGGTCAGCAGGAGGACCGACCAATCAAGACAACAGATTGAATCCTGATCAACGACTAAATACAATTAATATCAATTTGGACTGCAGCGATGAGCACCATATTATTTGAGTGAAATAATTTTATGCGTCAACATCACAACATGTTCACGATTTGTTTTGGCTCAAATAATTGAGCAACATCACAACATGTTCACGATTTGTTTTGGCACAAATAATTGAGTGAAATCGACAAGAGAGACTAAATACAATTAGGATTTAATTATATTCGGACTGCAGCGATGAGCACCATATTATTTGAGAGACCCAACAATGTAAACATATTTTATTTTGCCATATTGTAGCAGAATAATGGTAATCAGCTTAAATCATAATTGATTTACGAAATACCCAAACAGTTAAGATAATACCCGTAAAGTTAAAACGAGGAGATTTTCATAATTTTCAATAGGATTTCATTCTGAAGAACTTGAGTATTTATGCTACTGAATTGTTATGTTCCGTAGATTTCTATGATATTTTGGTTTTTTAAAATTATTTTATGTTGCTTTTACTTTTGAGCAAGTAATTAGGTAATTTTTCAAAATTGGTTCAAAAAAGAACCAAAAGGTTGGTCATGGGTACCAGTTTAATGGTAATCTGCTATCTCGAAAACGAGTTTCATAATAAATTCGGGGTGCACCCTGTCCCCTGTGCCCTGTGCCCTGTCCCCTGTCCCCTGTGCCCTGTGCCCTGTGCCCTGTGCCCTGTCCCCTGTCCCCTGTCCCCTGTCCCCTGTCCCCTGTCCCCTGTCCCCTGTCCCCTGTCCCCTGTCCCCTGTCCCCTGTCCCCTGTCCCCTGTCCCCTGTCCCCTGTCCCCTGTCCCCTGTCCCCTGTCCCCTGTCCCCTGTCCCCTGTCCCCTGTCCCCTGTCCCCTGTCCCCTGTCCCCTGTCCCCTGTCCCCTGTCCCCTGTCCCCTGTCCCCTGTCCCCTGTCCCCTGTCCCCTGTCCCCTGTCCCCTGTCCCCTGTCCCCTGTCCCCTGTCCCCTGTCCCCTGTCCCCTGTCCCCTGTCCCCTGTCCCCTGTCCCCTGTCCCCTGTCCCCTGTCCCCTGTCCCCTGTCCCCTGTCCCCTGTCCCCTGTCTCCTGTCCCCTGTCCCCTGTCCCCTGTCCCCTGCACTTATAGAGGTGTATGTAAGTTTATTTTATCTGTCAATTTAAAGTTTGGGTTTGGAAGATTTTTTAACTGAAAATAACGATTTATTTTCTGAACTCATCATGCAGAAAGGGTAATTATGAATTAGATCCTAATTACGTAAAGACAATTCAGCTAACCCAATTTCCTGTTCGTGTAACAAATAAGGTTTTACATCTCCTGAAAATTTTCTTATCGATTTCTAAGAGTCCATATTATGCACTTTCAGCTGCATACTGCAGAATACGGTACGTGCAACATGATTATGTAATAATTTAATCACTTGGTCGCAAGATAATTTACAGACGAAAACCTTGATAAGAAATGGGATCTAACTCTAATGGTTCAGGCCCTCTTTATAGGGAATAACACTGATCGTATAATTCAGCAAACGTCTTATCTTGATTAAATGTTTAGATACGGCAATCAGTGATTGGCAGTTATGTGCAATATGAAAGAGGTAAGTTGAACAGCAAGAATCGCCATGTCCCGCAACGTGCGTTGTCTGCCAGTATCAGACTCTGCCGTTATATTGCCAGTTGCCACCCTGTTGCCGGGTCAGTGGTCACTGCTAAGTATAATGGTGATCATAATTGATTTACAGAACACCCTCAAAATTAAGATAATACCCGTAAAATTAAGATAAGCGATGAGATTTTTAAACTTCTCGTTGAGATTTCATTCTGAAGAACGGTAGTAGAACTGTAGTATTTATGTTCTTGACATTTTGAGAATCTCCACTCTCCAGTTTTCTTTGATATTTCATTTGAAACCAAATTGATTCACCTTATGTTGTTCAGCAAAAGGCTAAACTTGTAATGTTAAATTAGTTGTAAATAACCTTATCGTTTGGTTCATTTCAAGAAAGCGTAATATGTAGTAATAATTAGCATATTAGTAATAATTAGCATAATAGTAATAATTAATCGAGTTGTATTGATACTGGGTTCGGGATAAACCATATATCACAATTTAAAATGACTCCCGCTAGTTCTAACGAAGATTATGTAGTCAAATTATAACCCCTAATTTTATAACTAGTTCCCTAGTAGTTCTCCAGAAAGTATGACGGAATCAAAGAATGCTGACAAACTTGAAACATCTGCCGAAATTCCCGCTGCTAAATGGGACATAACTTCCTTTTCCCCGACTAAAAAAAGGTTCCTCTTCCTTGCCATGTGCCTCTTCCACCTCCTAACCTTCGTCTCGTTCCATATGCCCTACTCTTACCTCCCGCTCTACAATGAGAGCAGAGAGATCTCAACCTTCTGGACCGGACTGATACTTGGATCAACTTCTTCAGGAATGGCGGTGTCGTGTGGAGTGATCGCTCCTGTCGTCATGTCCAAGTTTTCAACCAGAATTGTCCTTTCGGGGGGCTTAGCTGGCCTTGGTATCTCCCTATTACTCTTTAGCGTGCTGGATTCCATCGAGAATTTGGTGATTTACCAGATTCTGTCTTTGATATTCCGATTTTCAGCCGGAGCATTTGGTGGTACTCTCAACGTCACCATATTTGCCGCTTACTTAGCCATCTACCCCGAGTATGTTGGCACTGTCACAGCAATTGGGGAGGCCTTTATTAACGGAGCATGTGCTTTAGGGCCCTTTTTGGGGGGAGTCCTGTACGATGCAGGCGGTTTCACAGCAGCTTCTGTCTTTCCAGGTGCACTAATATTTGTAAGTGCTATCCCGGCTTTCTTCCTTTCTAGTCTTAACAGCAAGAAGAGACGAGCTGGTGAAGAAGAATCAAGCTGGACCAGTATCTTGGATCCTCTGGTTCTATTCCCACTGTGGCATCTTGCATCTGCTCTCATCCTCGTCAGCTATCCCATGCCTCTTCTTTCTCCCTACGCGGAAGAATTCTTCAACGCGGACGTCGTCTGGTCTGGGACCGCTCTTCTTGCCACTACGGGGGGTATCTGCATTTTCTCACCAATCATCGGGCTGGCGATAGACAGGTACGGTCCTTGTAAGATGTTGATGGCCTCCTGTGTGAGTTTACCCTTGGTGTACGCCTTTGTGGGTCCTCTCCCGCTACTCTCCTTCATCACTCCCTCCAAAACTCAAGTCATCCTCTCACTTGCATTGCTAGGATTAGCTGTTCCAATGGCGTGCGTCTCCGCTCTACCAGTCATGTTCAAGGTTTACCAAGCGAGGAATGGAGGCAAGCTGCCCATCATCGTCATCAACTCACTGGTTTCCTTGTACTGTGCTGCATTTCCTATTGGTATCTTCATCGGCACCACAACATCCGGACTGATCGCACCATTCGCATCTTTTGGCTGGTCTACAGGCATTCTGGGATTGATTTACATCGCAGAATCAATGCTATGTATTGCTTTTTGTATCAAGGTCATGTCATCGACGAAAACAAAGACGAAGGTAGCAGAGAATGGTGACTATGCACAAGTGGACAGCCCTGATGAAAATCTCAAAATATATTAAATACGTTCAGCTGGAGAACAATCGTCATATTCTATATGCACTGTTATACTGGTACTTATAGTGTCATATATGTTATTTTATGACGGTTTATGTATTACGTTTCATATTAATTCTTCCTATTTCTGCTAATTTCCATCATGCCTGTAAATGGGAATGCAAAATTTGGAACGGTTTTACAGCTAAAAACTCATATTCAGAGAAAATTTGCAAATTTATTAATTTTATTTTTAACTTTTGTTAATCTTATTTTTTAAACTTTTGTTATTTTTTTGTGAGTGTCGAGTTTTTTATGATGTCATCATTGTTTTTTGCATTGAATTACAAACGTAATATATTTCAAATTTCGATTGTTGTTTTATTGAGGAAATTGAAATTAATGAAATAAAACTAAAATCGGTGATTACCATAATGCATAATATAATTATGTATTAAGTTTTTCGCAATCCCAATTTACCGAATTGTACAACTAGTACTACAACACGTAATGCTTATTGAATTATATTATAGTTATATGTATGAGACTGGTAATCACTGATCCGTCTATAATTCATGATTTGTATCACGTCGTGACCAGCCCCATTAATTGTCATTTCACTTAGTATCGGCCGGGGCAAAAGGGCCACGCGATACAGCCGCGCACTCGTACGCGGCGGGCCTACAATGTAGTTGTACAGCGTGAGCAGTACGTGAGGCAATTTAATTCTTATTAAGAATTGACTTAAAAATCTTAAGTCATTTAATTCATGACTTCATTTTGATTACTGGGCCGCGCTCAGCCTGTCATTCCGCCGAATCTCTATTATGTTGAATCTCTATCGACTATCATGTTAATGAAAATGATAGCCTGAGATCCCCAGGTAACATCTTGATAGAAAATTAACGGAAAGATTCGAATTTCTGGAGGTTGAGTTTCGGTTTGATTCACGATGTTAATCCTTCCCAGCTCGGCTTGCAATGTAGTTGTACAGCGTGAGCAGTACGTGAGGCAATTTAATTCTTATTAAGAATTGACTTAAAAATCTTAAGTCATTTAATTCATGACTTCATTTTGATTACTGGGCCGCGCTCAGCCTGTCATTCCGCCGAATCTCTATTATGTTGAATTTCTATCGACTATCATGTTAATGAAAATGATAGCCTGAGATCCCCAGGTAACATCTTGATAGAAAATTAACGGAAAGATTCGAATTTCTGGAGGTTGAGTTTCGGTTTGATTCACGATGTTAATCCTTCCCAGCTCGGCTCGAGGCCCAATGGTGCATCTCGCCGATTCCCAGAAAACATTACCGGCTGCTGGGCTTGCTAGAGGTTATAGATTCTCAACAGCACGTTTGGCGTCGCGCGTCACGTCAAGTTTACCTTTCGCACGCTGCATTGAGCCTAGTAGTCATGACAACGACATTTCTTTGCAAAGTTTAAAAGCTGTGATCTTTTATTTAGCCCAAAATCAAACTTTTCGGTTTAATTCAGAATCTACGTTGTCTCAAATTTGGCTCCTGGGGAGCTAACTTTAAATTTACGAGACGGAAATTTTGTTGAAAACCGGAAGGTTCTATTTATTTTACTTTTGGAGATATACCCCAGCCGGTAGGGTTTCCTGGGCCGAACCTACGCGCGTTTAAAAGAATTTGTGCTTTCATTTTAAAACGTTCACTTTGACAAGCCATAACTCTCCACCAATCAAGTCAAATTTCAATTTTAAAATATCAAAAGAACGTAGAGAATTTCGCCAACAAGAAAGGGGGCTCCTGGATGGGTAGGTAAAAACGCGATCTTCGCTCTCAAAATCGACTTTTAAAACTTCATACCTTTTCCGCCGAAATTAAATTATAAGTCTTATATCGCAAAACATCCCCCTACCTCCCTGCAACTCCTCCCCCCCCCCCCCCTTCCACTTCTCCCCCCCCCCTTCCTTCTGCTTTCTTTTGCAGCTGAACTATGAACTCTCAGCTCTCTCGCCTATAGAACCTACGCGCGTTTAAAAGAATTTGTGCTTTCATTTTAAAACGTTCACTTTGACAAGCCATAACTCTCCACCAATCAAGTCAAATTTCAATTTTAAAATATCAAAAGAAAGTCGAGAATTTCACCAACAAGAAAGGGGGCTCCTGGATGGGTAGGTAAAAACGCGATCTTCGCCCTCAAAATCGACTTTTAAAACTTCATACCTTTTCCGCCGAAATTAAATTATAAGTCTTATATCGCAAAACATCCCCCTACCTCCCTGCAACTCCTCCCCCCCCCCCCTCCACTTCTCCCCCCCCCCTTCCTTCTGCTTTCTTTTGCAGCTGAACTATGAACTCTCAGCTCTCTCGCCTACCCAGAAAACCTTACCGGCTGCTGGGCTTGCTAGAGGTTATAGATTCTCAACAGCACGTTTGGCGTCGCGCGTCACGTCAAGTTTACCTTTCGCACGCTGCATTGAGCCTAGTAGTCATGTCAACGACATTTCTTTGCAAAGTTTAAAAGCTGTGATCTTTTATTTAGCCCAAAATCAAACTTTTCGGTTTAATTCAGAATCTACGTTGTCTCAAATTTGGCTCCTGGGGAGCTAACTTTAAATTTACGAGACGGAAATTTTGTTGAAAACCGGAAGGTTCTATCTATTTTACTTTTGGAGATATACCCCAGCCGGTAGGGTTTCCTGGGTTTACGGAAGTCAGAAGTTGTGGTTGCGAGAAGTTGCGCGGCGCGGCCCAGTAGTGCATCGCGCTACAAAATTTCGGTTATCTTTCATTTTTGCTTTATGAAACCACTCCAAGTAATTGTACTTTGTTTGTTTTTCTAACTAACATCATCCAAGAAGTCGGTTTCTCATAACCACTATTTATTTGTCATACGTTGTATGACCCGCCGCGCACGAGTGCGCGGCTCCCCTGAATTGTTCAAACTTTACAGTGAAACGACCGTGGGGGTCACGATGTGATACAACTATTTTGTATTTATTAGTGTATAACCAGGGACTCATGGCATTGCAGTCAACTCATGGCATGGCATTGGCTGCAGTCAAGGAGGGGTACCTCACTTTATTTGTTATTGTAGCGCGATGCACTTGGGTCGCGCGCGCATCCAATAATGCTTCTCGCAACCAAAGATCGGCGAGATGCACCACTGGGCCTCGCCGAGCTAGGAAGGATTGACATCGTGAACCAACTCACTTTTAACCCAAGAGATGGCCATGCTCCAAAAAGATGGCTGTATCTTTGATAAAATTCTCAATCCACGAACACGAACACGTATGTACTGTGTACTAATACAGGGTTGCCTAAAAGTAGAAGTAACAAGCAACCCTTCAATAACTCTTGAAATCCGTTTCATTGTTCATAATTGTTTACAAATTTCAGGGATTACAGATATGGGTCAAATATTATGTTCGCTGAAATTTTCTTAAAATTTAATTTCGTCGATTACAGAGCTAGGGTGTAAAAAGAGGATTTGGCATGCCACACGTGTGGCATGCCAAATCCTCTTTTTAATTGTTTTCGTAATAAAATGATATATCAATATGAGATCAACACTTCGAGCTATCATTAAATTTGTGAGATCTGTAATCATTGTATTTATTATACTATTATACCTATAGCAAGGTATGAAGGTAAGCAACATCTTCAATTCGTTTATATAATCTGTCGATGGACTCATAACGCAGGGTTATTGTTAAAGCACGGTTATAAGGCATATTTAACGCACGGGTAGTTGCTCTAACCAGAGCCCTCTCGCTTGCAGTAGCGCGCGACCGCCGTGGGCGGCAAAAGAGGGCTCTATAGATGGCCACAAACTGGCACCACAAATCGTGGTGCCAGATTTCCTCCCATATTTCTGATGCCGCGCGCGACGTGTTAGTCATTTCTAGTTACTGCAACTGTTAGACTCGTGCATTGCATTTGCACATATATAATCAGTGCAATATTTTCTCGTGGGATAAGAGTTTTTGGAGGGAATTAATTTAATCTCTTTGTTCAGTCATTTCATTATACAACTGTTTCCTGTTTCTTTGATCGTTGCCATCATTCGGCAGCTGATCAGATCATTCGGCGGATGTTTCTTTGTTCGTTGCTTTTATTCGGCAGCTGATCAGATCATTCGGCGGATGATTCAAAGGGAGACAACTTTAAAGGTGTTTGAAGGTCAGCTGAAGACGATTTACACAAATATTTTGAAAGCTCCTGCTAATTAAATCCTTGCGTATCAACTTATATGTTTTTAATATCCCCTCTAGGTTCAAAGGTTTCTGTTAAATTGTCAGTAATCAGCAGACTTTGCTACACTTTTGTCATTTGCAATTGGACTTAAAATATGTTAAAGGTTGTCATTGTCTATAATTTCGAAATAGAGTTTTGTAGGGAACTAATTTAGTCTCTTTGGTCAAGCAACCCGGAACCCCATGAATAGTGAATACTGTTATTATCATCTCCAAGTTCACAACAGGTATGGGTTTTATTCATAATATATTGAGGCACTTATAGTATAGTTCAGTCATTTCATTTTACAACTGTTTCTTTGTTCGTTGCCATCATTCGGCAGCTGATCAGATCATTCGGCGGATGTTTCTTTGTTCGTTGCTTTTATTCGGCAGCTGATCAGATCATTCGGCGGATGATTCAAAGGGAGACAACTTTAAAGGTGTCTGAAGGTCAGCTGAAGACGATTTACATAAATATTTTGAAAGCTCCTGCTAATAAAATCCTTGCGTATCACTTATATGTTTTTAATATCCCCTCTAGGAACCCCATGAATAGTGAATACTGTTATTATGATCTCCGAGTTCACAACAGGTATAGGTTTTAAAATTCATAATATAGGGGGGGGGGGGGGGGGGGGGGCAACCATATTAAAGTATATTAAAGTATATCCCGGGTCAAAATCGGAAAAAATCCTACATTTTAATATACTTTAATATACCTACAATTAGTAGATTAGAAGATAAGCCAGTTGCTAGTCCCCTGAACTCATACTTCATATATTTTGGCTCATAAATTGGTCAAGTATCAATATCTTTG